CGAAAAAGAAAAGGTTGAAGAAACCGTGAGCGCGCGCGACCGAGATTCCGCGATCCTCTCCACTTTAGAGACGTTCCGGGCTCCCTTTCGCAAAAGGCCATTATCTTCACGACGGCCGACATCGTCACGTCATACTGTTGCCTGTAAACGGCGGTGGGTCACGAAACTAGCACATTAAATATTTACACATAAGTAAAGCGCGTTTTAATCGCTGAGAAATATCCGCAGGCAACAATGGTATCTTCAAGCTTTTAAACTCCGTCAAGTATATCTCATACCTTGCGATATCTTTCGCAAATTCGCTCCGAAGCAATTAAGTAAGTTCAAAAAATTAATTCGGCAACGATAGTTATAGTTGAAAAAAAAAATAATCCACTCAAGTTAATATGTAAAAAATTAATTTTGTACATTTATCGATTAAACATTATAGTCATCAGAAGTATATCTCGTCACGCAAATTTCATTGAGCTCTTCTCGCGGGGAGGTCACACTATCGAGCGTGTTCTCGTTATTCCATGTTCATTAGGCTGCTCCCTGTAACAAAATGTTTTCTTTAAAAGAAGTGTCACCCACGGCCAATCATGTCGGTGTCCCGCCAGGAGGGGCTCCCGAGATGAAACGAGAAGCAGATCAGTCGGATCTCGATAAGAGCAACGCGGTCGGAAATAATGGTAGGGTGTGTGGATCACGACTCGACCTCACGGCAAAGGAGAAGAAGAAGGAGGGGAAGAAGTAGAAAAAGAAGAAAAAGGAGAAGAGAGGAAGACGCGGGGTGAGAGAGAGCGAGCTAGCTCACCTTGGCGTCCATGGTATGCGCCCATCGGCGTCCCTCGCAAAGGCGTAGCGTCTCAGCCGCGGTAGGCGATGGTGTTTCGATAAGAAATCCCCGGGCTGAACCGAGAGGGAGAAAGACAGAGGGAAAATATAGTCGCTGCGACAGCGCCTTTATGGCTATTTGTATCCTTCGACCGTGTCGTATCGCCGCGGGCGCGTTTTATGCACGCTGCAAAACAATGCGACGCGTAACCCCGTTAGAGAGCTTGTTGACGTATTTCGTATTGCCGCACGCCTTGTTTTCGATGAAACGTTGATTTTACGCAGGTGGCAGGTCGTCAGCTGAAAGTGGACGAATGAGGTGAATCGCGTCGACGATCATCGGACGAGATGCGAGCATGATGGAGATTGAAACACGAGAAACAATTTTCATTTCATACACCAACAACAGATGCGTCTTCTTTATTTTTATCCAATTTTAATTTTGCGCAGAATTAAAAATCTAATCCACTGAAGATCAGGGGTTTCTTTTTCTGAGAAAAATCGTTGTCTGCAGTTCTCATATCATTTTAATTAATTTTATAAGCACGCCTTGTTTTCGACGAAACGTTGATTTTACGCAGGTGGCATCGTCAGCTGAAAGTGGGCGAATCGCGTCGACGATCATCGGACGAGCACGGAGATTGAAACATGAGAAACAATTTTCATTTTATTCACCAACAACACACATACACAGATGTATGTTTTATTTTTATCCAATCTTGGGTTTTGCGCAGAATTAAAATCTATCTCACTAAAGATCAGGAATTTCTTTCTCTGGGAAAAATCGTTCTGTGTATAAGAGAAAAATCATTGTCTGCAGTTTTCATGTCATTTTAATTAATTCTATAAGAATTAACTAAAATGTTATTTATCCTTCTGATTTGTCTGCACATTTTTTCAGTTCTTTTCTAAATTTGCTCGATTTCATCGAAAGTACGCCAGCCGTTTGCGATATTATTAGCGGAATTCTGTCATTCGAGACATGAATATGGAAAACAGAATGCTTGTTTGGTATGCTGACACATTGCTGAATCGCATATATCGGCCACTCAATGGGCTACGTAACATGCCAAACATTACGTGTTCGAGGCTACTGCATTTAGTGTCTGTAATTGTAAGAAAAACAGTAATTAAATAGAAAAAAGGTGTTCGTATTGCTATTGGTGTAATATTAACATTACATAATTATTAACACAATTAAATTGCCTATTAAGGCGCCTTCAAGGGTTGAGGCTGAATCTTAGCTCGCCTAATAGTATTTTTATGTAAATTCTAAATTTCTCAGCCAATTTAATTGCGCGGCGATTAATGTCGGACTTGCAACGCAATCACACCCTGAAGATAGAATAATGAATTCACACACATTAAATACTGATGCTAATTAAGCGTCTTAAAACACTGCGAAGAACATGATTATTATTTTATTGTTAACTTTTCTGACAATGCAGATAAATAAGACAAATAAGGAACTAACACAAAATTAATTAATTTCATCACAGTGTATACTCTTAGCTCGTTAGGCTAAATTACTATTCTTTTCTATTATTGTCGATTTTTCCAAGAATGAGGAATCTTCGAAATGGAAAGATAAATCGACGCACGATTGGAAAAAATATCTCCGCTATAGTTTCTCGTCAAAACGTACGTTTGTTTTACCACTGTCGAGTGCAAAATAACGCAAGTGCTTATCTTTCTCTTTCTTTCTTTTCTCTCTCTCTCTCTCTTTCTGAAAAATTCTATCCAGCAAGCCAAGCCGTTTCGCGGTATCGTGCATCGGTAATGCGAAAGTATGCGCGCCGTTTTACGGTAGGCATATCGATGCCCCCCTCCCCCCTTAAGCGCATCTACATCGAGAAAATGCGGCCCGGCAACGCGTGTGCGAGCGCGCGCGCGGCCTTAAATATTTCATTTACTCGGCAGGATTTACACGGCGAGAAATATACGATGCGTCGGCACGCGCCGTAAATTCTTACCGGCTTCTCTTTAACAAGAGCTTTTCTTCCCTTTTTTTTTCCTGTCCCCTTTTGGTCGATCCTCCGCGTAGCCTTCCAACTTCCACAAGTCGAGGCGTCGCCTCGATTGTGCATACCGGGCACGATTACTCGCTTCATTGTGCGTTACGCAATACGGAGGAAAGAAGGGGGAAGGAGAGGGAGAAAAAGAGAGGGGAAAAAGAGACGAACTATTACGGTGCACATATATGCGTGACTTGTATACGTGCGCGCGCGTGTGCACGCGCGAACACGCGGACGCCGATAAATAAACAAATGCGTAGGTACCGCGAATGCGCGGCGAAAGCGCATTCGCGACTTAAGAGGAATGCCGCGCCTGTCGCGTCGGGTCGCGCCGCTGGAAAAAATCCGGGACATCATTTTGCGCAACGTCGTGCGCGATTGAGTATAGAAAAGAAGGAAGGAAAAGAACTTCTCTACCTCGCGCGTAAATTCGCGCTTGGGATACATTCGCTCGTGATAAATGTTCACGTTTTTACGTCTCGAACAATCCGAATGTCTCTCCTCGGCTTTCTTCGCACGTGACGCGGATGTGGATACCACCACCGTACGATTTGTCGCATCGTTTGCGACGCTGTATCTCTACGAAAAGGAAAAATGTCGTCGGGAGATTTTTCTTAACAATTAAATTAAATTAAGAATTATTGCACGCGGGCGGACTATAAACGGACAGAACGATACACGAGGATAAAAGTAGACAGATAGATAATTATTATAGGTATATAGATATACATCGCTAATTATTGTGTGCGAACGATACACGAAGATAAAAGTGTATATAAACAGATAGATAAATATTATAGATATATAGATATATATATCGCTAATTATTGTGCGCTTTAGGACGATATTCTTTTAAATGCTGGACAAATATATACAGAGAGAATTTTCTTTTAAAATTTACCCTGAAAATCATGTTAATTGTGAGACAATATAGTATTTAGGTAAATTTTACTGTGCACTACAATAAATTTTACTGTGAAATCTTATTGTAGTGCACAGTAAAATTTGCCTAAATACTATATTGTCCCATAATTAACATGATTTACAGAGTAAATTAAAAAAAAAATTCTCTCCGTGTACAATTAATAGTAGGGCGATAGTTCAGACGCAAGATAATACAGCTGAGCGTATAAAATTAAAAAGAAAAAAAAGAAAAATTGAAAGAGAGAGAGAGAGAGAAAGGAGGGGAGGGAGGGAAGGAGGGAGAGAGAGATATTGTCGTGCGCAGCCGGCTGACACTAATGTATCATACAGCGTATGCCTGAATACGGTGAGGTCAGGTGGATAGATATCGGATACGTAGCGGGACATGGGCGGTTTCGAAGAATGCGCTTCCTTCCTGTTGATACGCCGGCTACACCGTATTTGGATACGCGCGCGTGATCGGAGATGCGCGATCGCCCGTACATTTTATAAGTAACGTACCACGCTAATGAGTCATGTCGCGATTACGATTCCATTAGCGTGCCGCGACGAATCCGCGAAGAATTCCGCGCGAGGCTGCAACGAGCGGAACTTTCGCGGAACTACGCCTGCGGTTAGTGCGGGTACAATGAGCAGCGATAAACGCTCTATGACGACTGGATAGATTCGTATGTGTTTGTATTTTTAAATGCGTATAATATTAAGAGATTTAACAGAGAAAAATATTATAAAACATTGTAATAAAATAAAATATAAGTAAAATCAGACGATTAAGAGTCTTACGCAGATATTGAAACGTAAATTTCTTCAATTTGTTTCAACTTCAAATTACATTCAAGCCAACGCATCAGCGCAAACTATATGTAAAAGAATCAATGCTTCACAAGGATGATTATTGATTCTTTTACATATTTTTTGCACTGATGATGACTTGAATGAAGCCGAAACGTTCGCGAAGGATTGCAATGTAATTTGAAGTTGAAATAAATTGAAGAAATTTACACTCCAATATCTGTGCGTGAGACTCTTAATTGCCTGATTTTATTGATATTTTATTGTTGTATTATTTAAAGAGCGTTATTTTTAATGGTTAAACATTGTAAAAATTCTTTTTCCGGAGGAGAGACGAAAATATATTTTCGAGAATGAGATATATCTCATTCTCTAGACATTACGTTCTTTTGATTACGTTGATTTTCCAAGCCGATCGGTCAAATTTACGGAACGTTACGTCTATTTCCGCAGGTAAACACTTGGTGCTGGTGTCAGATCCCGAGATTGCCGAGAATGCGTACGCCTTCGACAATCTCTGCTTCAAGGATGTCACGCCTGCGGCGGTCGGCCGCGTCACGGAGAGACCGCCGTCATCAGCTGTACCCGGGGACACACCCGCGAAGGATTCCACGCGATGGTCCACACCCTGGACGTCCTTGGGCCTCGGCTCGGCAATCCGCAGCGATAAACGCCGAACCCTCGATGACTCCTGCGTCGGAGTAAGCATTTCCTAAACAAGATAGGATACTCTTTTTTTCAAGTAGAGCAATGTTATTTTATTTGTCATTCAATATCGATATAGTTCTTACTCTTGCTTAACAGCAGTCTGTTTTATTTTTCTTTATAATAAAATAATTAAGAGATTAACGAGAAAAGCGTTAAATTTATTCTGGGTGTACAGACGGATTTAAACAAGGTAGTGAAGATACTGATTAGCTTGATAAATTATTGAACTTAGATTTAACTTGACAATTAAAGTTTGATACTGCGTAACGAAGATCTCGGTAGATAAATACTCGTATTTTTAAGTTCAACACAGTTGATCCTTTCCACATTAAGACAATACAGATACATATACAAACATATACACGACAGAATGACACCTCTATGTTGTAATTGAAGATTATCAGCCCGAACGACTGAATTATTGCACCAGGTGGGCAATAAATTCCACGATTGAACTTTTATGTGTCACGATAATAATCCTTGTTTAGTCACGCGATAATAGCGTGATAATTGCAGGATGAGATGGACGAAGGCGGGTATATAACATTTATAATTCTCCATGATCTAATCTGACTTCAAAATATCCTTTTTGCGGAGGAAATATTGGATTGAGGAATAATTATCAGGAGTGTATTTGAATTTTATTACAGAAATTTAATATAGATCCTACTTCCTTATTAAAGATTTGTAAAGGACATGCTTAATAAAATATGAAAATAAATTTAAAAATAAAAGTGTAAAGAAGTAACTTTGTGTAGATAAAAACATACATATTGCCAATAAAGATGAACAATCCGAAATAAATATATTTCTATTAAGGAAAAATTCGAAAATTTGTATTTTTCCCTAGTTGCTTATATTTCTTAAATTGTAAGCAGATTTCGAAATATCCTTTTTGTAGAAAAGGTTGGATTAAAAATAATTTTCGGGATTTTTGACGTAAAGTCTGATAAGCTTGGAGAACAATGTCTTTTGAGTATATTTAAATTTTATCATCAGAATATTATGTGATTCTTAAAATATTTATGATGATATAGGTTTGAGAATAAAAATGAGAAAAGTATAATTTTGCAGATGAAAGAGCAAAAATAGGTAATTGATAGGTAATCTGAGATGTCCGGTCCGAACGGTCTTACGTCATGTTTTTATTAAGGCAGGACTCGAAAATTCGGATATCTATTAGCTGCAATTTATATCCCAGCTGGATATATTGTATATGTACGTGATGCAGTCGGACGTGATAACATCAATGGGCATGACTTCTCTTTCATAAGATATGACGTATCTCTCCACCATCCACTTGTCCCTGCGTTATTAGCTTGTCATCGGCAAGGTTCCCGTTCATTGATCGTCGCTCCCGTCGAATCGCGCTCGGGAATAGCGGACTCAACGAATCCATCACATTTTACACACGTATATACACTGCATGCACACGTACACGGCGATCAGCGAGCCACGACCCACACGCAATAAATGCTCCCGTAGTGAGAGTAGTAGAGTTTTCATCGTTCGTGTAACAATCGACCCGCTTGTTTTCTTGTTCCAGCCCAAGGCCACTAGGGTCAGCCTGGTCAGTCTGCGTAGCCGTGACTTCACCGGCCTGGGTTTTAACGTGTGCGGCAACATGAGGGAGGGTATCTTCGTCAAGGACCTGCTGCACCGCGGACCCGCATCCGAATCCGGACGAATACACCCTGGTTAGTACTTGCGGTATCAAAATAAAAGCGCTTCTCTCTCTTGCGATAACTTTGCGAGCATCTGGGTCCAATATTTATCGGAGATTAAGTCACAAAAATTTATTGATTCTCGATCTCAAGGATATATAATTCTTAATATATTTTGAAATATATTTATAGTTATTAATAGTTAACGTTATAATTATAAGTTTATAGTTTTGTGCCACATAGTACTTTATTTCAGTCTTCTTTATATTTAGTCTTGTTTACATTTAATTTCGTTTAAAAATAAGAAAAATATATACATATATGTATGTATATATACACATCTATTTCCGCTTTGATTGTCTTGCGATTAGATTTTCACGCTTAATCTCGTTATCGTTGCACACGGCGACAACACAGGATTTTCTCTTCGCTCACCGTACCGAGATTGAAACTGTAACACGATTTCTGTTGAGAAAAAGCGATCGCCTCGCTATAATTATGAACGAATTATAATTCAATATCTCAATTAACGGATGGCTGTGTGTGTCTCTCTCAGACGAGAGCCGTCCGCGGATCTGAGAATCACCCACATACCTACATTCCGCAGTGAAAGCACTGTTACCGCCGTGTTCGAGCATTTGATAATGCGTGTCGTGAGATGATTAAAATGGAGTATCAAGCCCTCATTAAAGTGCACTTGCTGGCGTAAGTGGAGTGCGCGCCAGTATGATCGCCATAATACGATGCCAAGTGGCCCAGTTTGGTAAAGGCAACGACTCAACAAATTTTCAATCTCGGCTTAAAAACGTAATTTACAACGAAACATCTTTAGCCGATGATTACTTGGGTATCAAATTGCAAAGCTAATTTTCCGTCCGTGTACGATATCGCGGCTGAAATTCTTGAGATTTCGATTTCTTTTTGGTAATTTAATGCACTTTCAGTCATTACCTCCTTAATCAGGAATGCGTGATACTTATCACAAAATAGCAATTTTACGATATTCAACAAAATAGTTTATCGTAAACAGAACATTCCTTTCTAAGCTACAAAATAAAAGGCGAAATAATTCTTCCCATATTTAATCATGTTGTGCGTCGCACCAAGAATGACTCGTTATTGTTCTTTTTTTTTGTAGGGGACCGTATCTCTAGCGTGAAAATCAGCTTCCGCAATATGGTATATGAGGACGCGTTGACAATCCTGAGTTATGCCTCGCCGTATGACGTAGAGCTGGAAGTGGAGAGCGGCGGTAGCGGCTCCAAGCCGGCAACGTTGCTGAAGAAAAGCGTGGGTCCGAGTCCGACGAGGATCTGTCACCCTCTCTACAGGAGCCAGTCGATCCCGGAGCTGTCACGGGGTCACAAAAGCGTCGCGAAACGGCTCTTCATAGCCGACCCGAACGAGTCCGTGGGCTCGAATTACTCGATGAACTCGACCCTCAAATCCTCAAAATCGACGCCGGGCAGCGGGCAGAGCCTCGAGAGGCGTCACGACGAGGCGAAGAACAATCATCATCACAAGTTCGGCATCAAGGTGTTACCGGCGCTGGACGGCACCGTGCACCGTATCGAGAATCAGAATGAGCACAATACAAACCTGGAGAGAAGGCACTCACGCAAGATGGACGCGGAGAAACTGCTTATGAATAGACAGTCCGCGACTTTGAGCGACACTGACGAGAAGAAACTCTGCAACGAGCGTCTTCAGCAACGCGCGGACGATGCCGTTCCAGCAAGAATCACCGACGGCGACCGCAACATCGATCACGTGTCGCGGGTAGATAAAGGCAGCAAGGACGCCGACGGGGGGCTCAACATACCGTCGGAGGTGCCGACGGAGGTGCACAACGCGGCTATGGCGGCTCGCAGAAATCGAAAGAGCAGTTCCGATCTTCTGAGCGTGCAGAAGATCAGCTCGTCCGATTCCGACGGCGCCAAGAGTCCTCAGAAGAACAAGCGGAAGGCACCGGCGCCGCCAAAGAATACCAACGACGTCGCGACGTCATCCGCAAGGAAAGACGCCATAGACACGATCGACAGTATCGCCGATTACACGGAGTCGTGCGACTACGTGAACAAGGCGCGTGAGAATACGGACGCCGCCGCCGCGGATGCCCGGAGGCATCGTCTGGAGAATCAGCCGACGGTGAACAGACGGAACTCCGAGTCGGACACTGACAACGAGATGCAGAATAGCTTTACGATCGAATTGAATTCGGCGGACATCACCGTCCATCGCACGCCCGTGCCGGAGGCGGACGACGACGAGGATGACATTTACAGGAAGGCAGCCAGCTTGGGCGACTTGTCCAAATACGAGAACAAGACCGCGGCGGTCCTGGAGAGGGCGCAGAGCCTTGACATGAGCGTCGACACCGGGGCGAAGAAGCGCAAGGCGCCGCTGCCGCCCGAGGATATTAACGAGTCCACGGAGGATCTCACGAAACTCGATCAGATCGACACGTTTGATCGACGGAAGCTGAAGAAGTCGAACGAGTGGGGCACCCTGGAGGACATGATCTGGAGCGAAGCTGCTACTGAAACGGAGGATAAGGCGCGTGAGAAAGCGCGCACGAGGAAGAAAAGCAACGGCACCTTGGAGCGTTCCAAGTCCGCTGTGGAGATCAAGCTGAAGGAGGATGTCACTGCAACGACGACGGCCGTGGTAGTGACAACGGCGGACAGCGTGTCCGAGCAGAAGTCCAGATCAGATGATTCAGATCAGGAGATCACCAGTATCGAGCTATACAATCTGCCGTTGAGCAAGCGACTTACCGAGGAGTTTATTCGCACCGAGCGGATGTTCAATCCGGACGAGGATAATTCCCTGGCCAGAATCGTGAACGACGGCCGGGTGGTGAAGAGCCCGACCCCGAAGGAAGTGGAACTGGACTTCCAGTTGGCTGAGGAGAAACGGTCTTCCGAGGAGGGCAAACGCGAGGAGGGGATTGGAAACGAAACGGATAGTAATTCCACGCCGGAAAAGTCGGAGGACTTCAGTCGCGCCGTTCGTTACTTCGAGCTGCACGCGAGCGGCTCATCGACATCTCCGGAGCCGACGACAAAAGTCAACCTGACGCGGCCGGACGAGTGGAAGGAAGAGAGAGCGCCCGTTAACGACGCATCGTTTTACGCCGGTAAACAGCCAGTTGTAGAAGAACCTATCTTAAAAGCAACCGTGACAGTGGATTACTGTCGCGGTTGCGAGGATAGGTATGGCCAGCACAGCGCCGTCTGCAAACGTGAAAAGTTTGCCACCAACAAGCAGCACCGTGTGACCGTGCGATCGTTCTCGGAGGACAGCAAGACGGGCGCACGAGAGAACACGGAGAGAGAAGCAGAACAACGGACGTCCGCCCCGACGCATCTGCGAGTACACGCGTCCAAGTCGGAATCGTCGGCTAGGCATGACAAATTCCAGGACAAGGAAGAGAACGCGGAGGGCAAGAACGGCGGCACCTTTTCCACGTTTCACGCGTATCGGACAAAGTTCGAGCAGCAGAGTGCGGACGGTCAGCAGCGCGACAAGTACTCGCCGACCAAGACGAAATTGCCGACCGACTCCGCGTTCGCCGACACGCACTTCGCTCGACGCATTATTAACGTCTCCAATTGCGACGGGGACGACGAGGAGGAAGAGGAGGAGCGTGAGTTCGGCTCGCGTAACGTAACGACGAACAACAAGAGCTCATCCTCGCTTAAGGGGGATCGTCGTAACATCAGCAGCGTCAGCGTGTCCAGTGGCGAGAGCAAGGACAGCGGTCTGGTTCGAGAGTCGACGGACTGCAATAATCCGCAGGACACGGAGAATCGTCCGTCTTTGCCTAATACACCCGTGCCGTCGAACGCCGGTCAAAAGATGACTTACATCACGGAGATCAAGGTGTCGCCCAACAGGGAAGGTGTTCGCGAGACCGACAGCGAGAACGAGGAGATAATGACGGGGACTAACGGCGAGTCGCGGAAATTGGCGCGTCAGGAGATCAAGGTGACGTCGAACGGTAAGCCTACGTCCGGTAAAAAACCGCCGGTACCGCCGAGGCGATCGGACATCACGAAGAGCCCGAAGGAGGACCGGACGGACAAGCAGATCGTTTACGTATCCGAATACAAGTCCGCGGCGGGCAATGGAGTACAGATTTTGGACGCGCATCCGGGATCAGAGGTCAAGCAATCGGAAAACAAGAAGTTCGAGCACTGGATCTTCAGGTCTGACAAGGAGTAGAATCGATGACGGAGTCCCACTTCCGGCCAATCGCAGTCAATCGTGACGAACATCATAATGAGAATCGCGAACATTCTTATCGTCCCTATAAATTTGTATCGTCCCTGGATGAGAGTGGGACAATATGAATTGGAATGTTCACGATTCTCGGCTTTCTTAGGAATGCGAATGAAAATAATCGGAAATTGTGTATAATTCAGCTTACAAAGAGACATTTTATTCGAAAAATATCGGAAATGAGGTGTTTCTTCGTACGCGACGTTTCTTTACGAATACAAATAACGATTGTAGCAATTAATAGAAAAGCTATTGTATTAATGTTAAAACCAAGATTGTATTAATGTTAAACTAAGAATTTTGGAATAACGTCCTTTCTAAGATAATCGATTTGAGCAAAGATTTCGAATAGAAACAAGGCTAAGTGTCGCAACAATAATCGTAAAATAAATAATATTTTTACATGATATATTTTTTTGCATCAATTTTTAGCTCTTTTTTAAAACTTGATCCCTTTTCATTTCCAGTCTTCAATTCAGTTTGACTTCAATAAATGATCCAGATTGAAAGTGAGAATGTACGTAAGTCTGAAAGGAGAGAATATGATTAATTTTATGTCGCATGTGTTAATGCATTTCTTGAAGTGATACGTGTTTCATACATATATTATAAAATATGTACATACATTATACATCCAGGAAAATTTCTTTCTGATGGTTTTATTGAGAAGTTATCCTCCAGACGGAAAAATATCTTTGTCTGAAGTGTGAATATGTAAGATATTCAAAATTATAGTCAATTCTTTTAGAAGAAGAGGAAAACTTGACATTATTTCTCTGATTCTCGATCGAGTTGCGTTTAATTTGTCTTGTTTTTCTGATTTTCTATATGTAACTTATTTTAATATGCTAGAATCAAAACCCAGTAAGCAAAAAATACTTAATATTATATATAATATTTCTGAATATTTAAAAAGTGTTTCAATATTATTCCAGATATTTTATAAATAATAATCTCATAATACAGAATGATGAAAGAACATCATTACTTCAACGAACACTGAACATTTCTAAAAACTTTGTTCATTCTATATTTGTGCGTTGTATAGGAATATTAGCGCAACACATCATTTGCAACGATATTTCAGTCTCATATAAAATTTGTTCACAATGACGTTGCAACATTATACGAATGCAACATTAAAAACTACATATTTTTTTTAAAATATGTTGTCAAATATTATTCTAATAACATTACTGAAATAACATTACTGATACTTTGTTTACTGGGAAGAATCAGTATGATTTTCGATAATATCTTATTGATATATATAACTTTGTTTTTTAATGCACATTCGTGGACAATAATCTTTTCGATTGAAGTTAACTGCGTTCCAGAAGCAGACGATCTAAATATTTATACGTTATTGTGTTATTAACGTATGTATACACAGAAAGCCTCGATGACTGACTTGCACAAGTTAACAATAACGTTTTACTTATAATACGACAGCAGTACATTTGCACACGGTAACACATTTGTATCTTAATGTTATATTATATTTATATGTTATGACTGTTAAATCCGAGCAGTGCAATTGGACTTAACAGTTACGATGTATGTATAAACACCTAGATGCGATGCGTCTGAAACAGTAGCCGACTTCAGACAAAAAGGCGTTATTGTCCACGAGTGAATCAACAGTTGCGTAGCTTGTAATTTTACATTTTAATTGTTCACGCGTATTCATGAGTATCGTCTGTATGAGATACAAAGTAAATATTAATTAATAAAATCTTACGTATAATTGTATTATTCGCTTTAAATACATCGATGCTCAAGTAAATATTGAGTACGAAAATCTTAATTTCAATGGTTTATTTAAAGAGCGTATTTTTTTGTGTTTTTAATGGTATTATGTGTTTTTATTGCTATCTGATGTTCTCTGAAAGCATAGGTAATAAATCCAAAATGTATTGGATTTGCTATAACCTTAGAAGATATATACATATGTATGTTCTAAGGCTATAACGTGCGATTGACATTTAAGAGATGTTTCACTGCGAATGTATTACTATATCACATTATAAATGAAATGTTATTGTTAACTGATGCAAGTCAGTCATCGAGTTTTTCTGTGTGCGTTAAATATAATTGTAATATAATTTATTTCAAAACTAACACGTTGGTAACATACGCTATTGTTTAGAATTTGTTAGTAACAAATGTATAAAGTTTTAATGAATAAAAATGTATATTTTTAAACATACTGATATTGCAGATATATATTTTTTATGTGATGATTCTCGTGAGAAGAGTAAAATTATTTTCGTTCTTTACGATTGTGTTGCAGCACTTTAAAAACAATTCGCATTACATAAAAAATATATAGAATCAAATCAAAATCTAATCAAATTTAATAGTTAATTATACATGCTAAATAGGTTTGCTAATATAAGAAATTAGCAGCACAGTTTTGCAGCTGTAATTAATATTATTAATATCACAGTTACATAAATATATTATTTTGTTTTATAATACACTCGTGTTAACAATTTTTATTATATACGCCTGTACAAGTCTCGAGAGAAAGTATTATAAAAAAAACATGATATGAATATGTGTATAAACATTTTATGTATTACGAAAAATATACGCATCAGTACCTTGTGCAGATTATTATTCTTAATATTTCTTTCTTTTAGTGCTTTTTACTTTAATTTAATTATTGTTTCTGTCATAACCTGTTATATAAGAAAGTAAATACATTTATGTAAACAGAATTTCCTTTTTTATATTCAATCTTATGTTAAAATAATTTTTATTCATTTATATTATTAACTGTACTTCTTCACTTAATAATACTTATATTTACATTGTTTTTATGTTAAATTGTAATGCACTACATAGATACTAATAGTTTAACAGAAGATATATGACATGATAGAAAATTATACTGCATACAATAATACAATTATACATTAATGTTTTCTGATAATAATAATTTTAAGAATTTACTCTGTCATACGTGATTAGATTACTTATCAATAAATCTATTTGAACATTTGGTAAACTTATATCATAATAATATATGTTCACGATAAATTATTATTTACAAATATGTCCACATCGTGGATCAGTAGCATTATTACGTAGCCGATTGCTTATAATTCTTCGTACTCATCAGTTTTTTACCACACATAGCGCATATAGCTTTCTTATACGCGCAAGACTGGCAATAATGCGATCCCACCTGATGAACTTTCTGCCTACATATTCTGCAGATCTCGAATTTCGTGGTGTATGGATTAAATCGTGCCTTTGCGGCAGAAAGAGCTTTGTTCTCTCCGACCTTACGACCTCCGCTCTCCGTTGTGTTCCTTGCACCCATCTTCCAGGGATCCGGAGTAATAACTTTGCCCAATTTCTTTTCGCATTTCTCGCAAACCATATTGAGATTTCTTATTTAGAAAGGGAACACTACACAAATTAAATAGCTGCCTGAAAATAATTGCGCATCATATTAGTGAACATTTAAAGATAAATTTTATATATATTGTATATGTACATATAAAAGATAAAATTATATTATTGTACCTGGAGTTTTTGAGTCGTAATCTTTTCTCGAAAGGATTTCTATAACACCTGTATATGTAATATCAGGAATCTTTTTATTAAAAGAAAAAAATACCACACCGTCTGAAAATAATTACATATTAAATGAGCGTATAAAGATAAATTATTTTTACAAAATATTAAAAAGACGATTACGTATTATATCATTGTACCTTAATCACTTAGGTTATGACCCTTCTGCAAATTGGTTTTTACTTGTTCAGTTCTTATACATGAGATATCTCGTGTACCTTTTCGTTAGAATAAAAACGCCAAAAACTAAATGCCTGAAAATAATTAAATAGATAGGATACAAATACTGGATAAAGATAAATTATTTTTGAATCAAAAATACGATTGATATTATATTATTATCGTACATACGTTGAGTTTTCAGGTTATAATCTCTTCGCAAGGACCACAAGAGTCGGTTTTTACTTCTTCAGCACTCACACGTGAAATATCATAAATCTTTTTATCACAACATCGATTGTCACAATTTCTTCAGTAATAAAACTCTCTAAAGATTGCGCAATTAATAAAAAATATTACTAAAGAAATTTGATAGCGTCAAGTGCATAGCGAGGGTTAGGAAAACGATCACGGATCATCATTCCGATTTCCGAGAGTTCCGAGTATTTCCGATGGTATCCGAACATTTCCGAGCATAAATTATTTCTTCTTTGTGACGAATGTCAGCTTGTGTACTTTGAAAATAGTATGTGCATACATACATATTAAAGCTACAGAGCTAAAATAAATAATACGATATTAAGTTAACTGATAATAAGTTAGTATTTCGTGTAGAAACGCGTCAAATTACTCCAATTTCGTCAAAATTGAAGTTGGTGGATCAGGTGTTCCAGATAGATATCTAGGTTAGAATAACAGGTTAGAGGAAAACTAGAGCTGGTGCCCCGTTTGCAAGTCGCTTTTTTTCGCATGCTCAAAAGTATGTTTTTGTGCACAATCTACCCGAGCCATGTCGGATGCCTTTGAGGAAATACAAGCGATCAAGATAAAGAGAAACAGCTACCGTGAGAAATTACAGAAGAGGAAACGCGAGAGAAATGAATTGTACACGCTCACTTCTACGCCGGTTTCATCCACCCTGACGGCGGAGTCGGCGTGTCCTGGTAATAGGGAGTGATAAAACCGTGACGATTACATTACCGTTGACATTTGTAATGTCTGGCGAGAAAGAATTCGTTCTCGACTCTAATATACAAACCTGTTGCAGATTCCAATGCATCGTCACGCTCGGATCACAGCGAGTACGAGAGAGATGTACTTTGCATCTTGCACGAATCCTTACCTAACCTACCGATAACATCCGCGGACTTGATAGACCAGCTGCGTAAAAATCTCAACGCCGATGTATCTTCCTCGGACATCCACAAGATTTTGGAGAAGCTGGCTGCACAAGATATAGTTAAGTTAGTGAGAATCGTTACGTTCCAAGATAGTTCGTTAGTGCATGATATATTTAATATATATATATAAAAAAAAAACCACTTCATTCTTAATCTTTAGGATCAAAGAAGTCACGGAGAATGGAGTGTTTGGCTATACAGTGCTGTCGGTAACAGAATCCCAATCGTCGTGCCAGTCCCAGTCTGACGACACGGAGAATGCCGAGAGCATGGAAATGTCCGAATTAAATGACCACGTGCCACCGGAGAAACAGGCGAAGATGGACAGGAAGAATACCGAGGACATCATGTCTCTGATTTCGATGCCGACCATCAGAGAGAAGGAGAGCAAGAAGGTCGGCGAACAGATCCTGGACTTACTGTCGAAGCAGACCTCCAAGGAGAAATCGCTGGCGGAACGATTTCGTTCTCAGGGTGGTGCTCAAGTCATGGAATTCTGTCCGCACGGCACGAAAGTGGACTGCATGAAATTGAATGGGGGCCCGGGATTCGCGGAGAAGTGCAAGAAGCTGCATTTTAAAAAGATCATACAGAGTCACACAGATGAATCCTTGGGGGACTGTAGTTTCCTCAACACCTGCTTCCACATGGACACGTGCAAGTAAGAATGTGAAAAATGTCATCATTTGTCAGTGCAAAATCAAATTTATTTCCTGACGCAGTTAACTGTAATTTGAAATAATCCATAAAAGATATGTTATAATTCTGAATAAATTATGTAGCTCTATAAATAAATACGTATTTATCTTTGGCTATTTTTAAGATGTTATAATTCTGAATAAATCATGTAGCTCTAAATAAATACGTATTCACCTTTGACTATACCACTTTTTAAGCCGAAGAAGATCCTAGAGCTACAGATGTCTTTTTTTCTTATTTCGCGCAGATACGTTCACTATGAGGTAGACGGCCCCACGGCACAACCGAGAGAAATCAATGACTCCGACAGTCCGGGCAATACCGCGTCCAACAAGACATTGAACTTGGACAGCAAGAACGGTAGCGGCAGCAGTGGCAACGTAGGTAGCGAGTTGACTCTGTATCCACCGCAGTGGATCCAGTGTGATTTGCGTTACCTCGACATGACGGTTCTCGGCAAGTTCGCCGTGATCATGGCCGATCCACCGTGGGACATTCACATGGAGTTACCTTACGGCACTATGTCAGACGACGAGATGAGGCAGCTGGGGATCCCGGCGCTCCAGGACGAAGGACTCTTGTTTCTCTGGGTGACTGGTAGAGCCATGGAGCTCGGAAGAGAGTGCCTGCAGCTATGGGGTTACGAGAGGGTCGACGAGATCATCTGGGTAAAGACGAATCAGTTGCAGAGGATAATACGGACTGGTAGGACGGGCCATTGGCTGAATCACGGCAAGGAGCACTGTCTGGTCGGGATGAAGGGCAATCCTCGTATCAATCGAGGACTCGACAGTGACGTGATCGTCGCCGAGGTTCGCGCTACCAGCCACAAACCCGACGAGATCTATGGCATCATCGAGCGCATGAGTCCCGGCACCAGAAAAATCGAATTGTTCGGCCGGCCGCACAATGTACAGCCCAACTGGATCACGTTGGGCAACCAGGTAGACGGTGTTCATCTGATTGATCCGCAACTTATTAAAGCCTTCAAGAAACGTTATCCTGATGGAAACTCGATGAAGCCTACCAAGCCGTAAGATTATCCTCGTCCAAGGTAAAGGATTAAAAATTAAATGGAGAGAATGATACAATAAGTACATTTGTATACAATACATTTGTATACAACTAAATTTCCAAAGAATTTGGAACATTGTAAGAAAATTTAGACCAAGTTTTTTATAAAGATTTTATTGGTTTATATTTCTTTTGTTCATAATATAATTAATTCCGCTACTAGAATCAAACATTGTTACACTATTAAGTACGACGTTTGAATTTGTATAATCTTCTCATCTTTTTTATATTTTTCAAAAATTTGATAAGCTGTTAATTAAAATCTTTATAAATAGGAATGATATTTGTCTATGTAAATTAAAGCCACTTCACGTTTTGTTATTTTATTGCAAAAAAATGTGTATATATATTCCATTTACCATTTAAATATATGCTAATACAGAATGAATGCATATAACTATAAATATAAGACTGATTTCCCGTGAATATTTTGAGATAGATAATAATATTTGTACATATATATTACATTATTTCTAAGCCATGCTTTATTCAGCATGTATGTATACACGTGTTAAGCTATTCTTGCTTAATAAAATTAATTATTGGAGAGTATGCAGATTAAAATCTCTTTGGAAAACTACAATTAATTTCTATGACGTGTAAGTCAATCAATTTTAGCACGAGGTCATTGCAGACCGTAAAGTGTAATGTGTTAATTACTTCATGTTATCAACGTATAAATATAAATACTGTCGAATCTTTTTACATTTACATTACCGTTGTATTGGAATGTGTAATACATTGCTATTTTGAGAACTTTTAGTTATTATTACAATTTTCAAGTATAAAAAACAAAGCTCGTGGAAAAAGATTGCAACGTAGATAAAAATAATTTTCATTATATTAACTTGGCATTTTTGTATTAATCATATCTCATAATTTTCGTATAATAAAATCAACAAGAACTCTTCTTATTGAAAAGATAAGAGTCCGTGAATGAGCTTTCATTATATGTAGCCGATACTGTTGCGTTTTTGCTTGAGTAGACTCTTCCTTATGGAAAAGGAGAATAGAGTGTCATTTATACTGCTTGTGGAAGTTCTCCTGGATATCGACGTTCTCGTGACGCAATCATTCGACTCGGTTAGCTCTGTGTTGTCCAACAAGTTCTCCTTGTCGTCAGTGTTGAACACTTTATCCGGAATGCATACTCTAGAGTGTACCTTGTTGAACGAGTCGACCCAATGTCTTTTCTTGTGCCCGTCTTCCATTATGAAAGAAAATTCCCCGATCTTGAAGCAGATTTCCGCGACATTTTTATCTTCCACTTGCACGTATATCCGCTCCTTGGGTATGACGGGGAAGGGCAGATTGTACTTTTTGTTAACGCGCCGCGTAGGGCGGGTCACCACGAAGCAAGTGTCGAAAAGAAAACAGTGATATTTCTGCAAAAAGATACAAGTGTCAAAGAATTTATTTAGATAAAATTTATATGCGTTATATCTCTTATAAAACAAAAACTGAAATAAAACTCACGATTCCACGCGTATCCTTAAGCTGACCCTCCGTAATCAACTCTGTGGCGTTGACGATGCACTTTTCAGGATCGTGCTCGATTTTCGCGTTTATCTTCGATTGAGCGAGCTTGCACTCGGCCTCGCCCATAATACGATCGATGTCCTTCAGCAGATCGGATAACACGTTACTCGCCTCTTTTAACGGTAAGTGATCTGCGTCGGCAGCAGGTGTGTATTTTAAGATCTCCTTCACTAGTAGCGGATACTTCACGATCCTCGAACGTGGCACGTCCAAGTAAGTCCACAGGTCGACGGAATGCGGTGACTCCAAGCGCTTCTTTAGAAACGACTGGAATCTCTTATTGGTGAATCTCTTCTCCTCCAGCAAATGCCTCGCCCAAACCAATGTTCTGCACCTCTCCAAATACGGTTTCTTTAATGTTGACAGCTGTGAATGCAATGAAATTAATATAGCATAAGCGCAGTAGGATGCTCCATGTGGGAGCGGTGGATTTGTTACATTGACGAGTCTCAACATTTAATTATTGCAAACATTCAAGACGTAGACCGAATCTTTAGAATAAACCAAAATCTACCCAGGATTATTGACTGATAGATGACACACAGTGAAATATATTGAGAAAAGAAAATATATTGAAATATACTGAGAAAATTAACTAACCCAATTTAATAGCGTTGGTGCCACGGTCTTTGTGAATCCGTATCTATCCCGCAATTTGAACAATTCGTCCCTCAAGTTACTGTGTATGTCAATGAGATTTACAAGATCGCCAAAGAGTGTGGACAGTTCCTCGGACGTGAAGATTTCAGAGGTTGACATCGGCTCGTAGTAGAAGTTTCTCAGCGTACAGAGCTCGTTAAGTAGCACATTTTCACCGCAGTACAACTCGTAAATGGCCTCTTGCCGCTTGATCTCGCTCCGACTCAACACACTGTTCAATCGTTCCTCACCGCGTGGCTGCGCGATGTCCGACATCCAACTCCTGATTGCCAAATTGTTGCAACTTTCGTTAGCTTTGTTCAATCTGAAATTAGGACGTGGTTTTTTATTGTAAAAGAAAACTCAATCACAAGCCGAGATATCTGAAGTCTCACTCTTTCAGACGCAATTACTTTTTACGTAACGTCCTCGTGTCTGCCTCGTCCTCGACGATGGACAGATCCGACGAGTTCGGCTGGATCGTGAAGGATCTGTGCAGGGTGCCTCCCGATTTACTCGCCGTCGTGACCGAGGAGGAAAATATGCTGCTGGCAACCTCCGTGATTCTGCGACGCTTCTTCTTCTTGCCTGTGTCGGACTCCATGGAGATGTCCATCGAGCTGACGCTTATCGCGTCGCTCTTCAGCCGTTTCCTCGATCTCTGTTCGGCGAAAAAAAGGGAGAAAAAAACACCGTTTAGACGTTCCAGACTGTCCAGGGCAATGCCAATGACAACAGTGGTGATCTCATTATCGTATCGTGGCAGTTCGAGTGGAACGGCAATAAACGCCGCGACGTGTACGTGACGCACACTCTAATCGCGAGGGCGGAAAAATCGACGAGAGAAACAACGCAATCCCGTTGACATTAGTGACATTGATATTCGAATGTCGGTTACGGTCAGCCGGTCGCGCGAGACGAGGCGTCGTTTCGCGGAACGTCGAGAGACAAAGCACTCACCAGCCAGAATCTTTTTCGTGGCTCCTGGAACGTATCCTTGATCGTCGTGTTACACTCATCGTCCATGATAATGCCGCAAATTGTCTAGAAAAAAAAAAGGAGAGAAAAATCGAAATTCCACCAAACAGCCTCTCTCGGAGCCGCACGCGCTACGTTTGATTTCACGAGCTCACCGGGCGGTTGTAGCCGGCCTCATTCTACACTCCCGCTATACCTACACCTACACCCTTTACACGCATCAAATTTTGCATGTTTATTTCAACGTTTATATTAATATTGGTATTTCAGAAAATTAATATTAATATCGTAGTGACGCAGAATCAATACATTTCATTATTGTGATCAAATTTCCAATCTCTCGACTGGACGCAGAAAATATCCCTCCCCTCTCTGTGATTGAACTTTTCGTACTTGTTTATTTTTCCTTCTGTCTCTCTTTCTTTATATCTAAATTGCATTCCCTATCTCGTTTTAGGTGTAGAAAGTGAACATAGCGCAGCTACTAAAAACAGATTACATACTCGATTCAAAATATTCCTCCCAGCCGCTGCTCTTTCCAATAAATTCTCACTTGAGTTTTCTCTTTCCTTCAACAACTGTGAACAAATGCATATTAATTTTGCTTTAAATGCAGGGAGTGCACTTGAATCGGGAATGTAATTTGATTTTTTGAGAGTTTAAATTATTGTTAATAATGGCAAGGAAATCTGACTTATAACTATATATACAGATAATACGAGTCATTGAACTCGTTCAAGCCGACAGAGCAGCTACAAGTAGAACATTGGTTCTTACTTCTATAAACATTCAATCGCTCGACGATCAGGAAGTTTCATCCGGCTCGAACACAGCCAATGATATATGTAGCAACTTTACCGACTCCGAAAACAAATCAGTTCGGGCGACTCGCGCCACTCACGTGTGTCAAGTATAAACACTGTGTAACTTATTATTATTCAATTTGATTGCAAAACGGTCTCGCGTCTTTTGAACATTCGATAAATGTCTAGTACTTCCAGAGATCGAGTAATTAAGTCACGTAACTTACGCGGCCGCGTAACTTGGCGTCGCCGGGCGTGATATGTTCTTAATAGTCTTCGCGTGTTTCGTCGTTTGGATGCTAATCAGGTAGGAATCGGCGATTCGCCATCCACGATTGCGGAATAATAATAATTAGAATTATTAACGTTCGACCGTATAAAATCGCCGTCTTTAACTGCGACGAAAGTAATAAAGCGTTGACGAGCCTACGTTGCAGGTTAGGAAATCTCTGCAATACCGATAGATTCATTGATAATCGCACCAACGCCACCAACCAATTCGTGCTCGAACATTTATGATAAGTTAGGTTAGGTTATGAATGCTATATTTTTCGAATATTCCACGATATTCCACGAGAAACGTTGGAATGCACTATATTTATCTCGAAAGGTAGAGCGATTCTTGCTACGAAATAAATTAATAAGCATACCGTCATATTGACGATCTAAATGTAATATAAAATAATTTTCTGTCCATTGTTACGCGCAATTTTAATCGACACAATGTAATTGCTGTACTTTGTCGTGTTAATCACAAGTGCTATAATAACAAGAATGAAATTAAGAAGCATCAAAATTTTTTTCACATTTAAGAATTGTGTTGTTAATTGTACAAATATCGCTTAAAACTTAACATGCACATTAATATCGATACGAAAATAAGATGTTTCAAGTGATGAGGTTAGGTGTGAAATATATGATTCAATTTATCAGTGCTAATATTTATTAGAGGGAGAAGAAAGTGACGAGGGGGAAATATTTCTTTTCTTTTTCAAGAATGGACAATGTACCAACTAGTACAGACAAGAAGAAGAGGAGCAAAACGACGAGACAGCCTGCTCCGAGCACCGAGCGTAAGGCATCTGGATGCAATTGGGAGACGTACAAGAATTTCTTCTCCAAGGCGAAGACGGAAGAAAGTGCTGGAGAAAAAAGCGTCTCGCAGAATAACAGGCATCCAAGGTTAAAAAAAGTATACACCACTCCGCCTCGTACGGTAAATACATATATATATATATATATTCATAATACTCTTTTCAATATATATATTTAAATGTTATCGATTGGCGAGTTATATTTCTTTACACATATCTGCCAATTGCAGGATTCACAGGAAGAGAGTGGCAAGCAAAGCGCCGTCAAGAATAATAAGGAGAACAAAACTCTGACGAAGCAGCTCGCCATGGACTGCGAGATGGTCGGGATCGGCGACGGCACGGAGAGCATGATAGCCCGGGTGTCAATTGTAAATAAATACGGTGATTGCGTGTACGACAAGTACGTCAAGCCGAGGGAGAAGGTCGTGGATTACAGAACGGCGATCAGCGGCGTCCGACCGGAGCACTTACAAAGCGGGGAGAGCTTCAGCGTCGTGCAGAAGGAAGTGGCGGACATCCTGAAGGGTCGCATCCTGGTGGGTCACGCGTTGAAACACGATCTCAAGGTGCTGTACCTGTCGCATCCGCGAAGATACTGGCGGGACACCTCGAGATACAAGCCCTTCCGTCAGATATCGAAGGGTAACACCCCCAGCCTGAAGAGGCTCGCGCACGAATTGTTGGGCAGAGAGATACAAGTGGGCGAGCACAGTTCCGTCGAAGACGCGAGGGCGGCGATGCAATTGTATATGTTGTATAGAAATAAGTGGGAATCGGAAAGGAAACATTGACGAGCGGGAGGGGGGAATAATGTTTTCTTTCCGTGGTAAGTCTTCCTGTGTGCGATGTCGTTTGTAAAGATGTATCTTTACACGGAGAAAATTTTCTTTTAAAATTTATCTCCTGAAAATTACGTTAATTGTGGGACAACATAGTATTTCGAAACTGTAAATTTTACTGCACACTACAATAAATTTGTTGTAGTATATATAAAAAAAAAAAAATAGTGAAAATCACATAAAATTCGTCGAAATATGTTGTCCTACGATTAACATGATTTTCAGAGTAAATTTTAAAATAAAATTCTCTCCGTGTACAAACGACATCACACACATGGAGATCTTCCACGTCTTTCACAGGGCATTCATGTCCATTTAATAAAAAGAATATGAAACAGGCTTGCGAAAATCAAGAACAGGATAGCGCAATCCTTGACACTTGTACTTGTTTGATGGACTATTTACACGACTAATTTTACTGCTCCTTCTTAATTATATAAACGGTTATATTTAATAAGCTATAATTATATATTTTATTTTAAATAATAAAATTGAAATATACATATTTTACTGTAAGATAAGCACCTTTTTCGTATTACATAGTATAATTTATAATTTCAATTTCAGCCGCTGCTCCCTCTTGATATCTCCTCCATATGGATATGGCAGATTTTTGAGAAACAAACGACTTTTCTGAGAATTAAAACTAACTGACATCGAACGTTGTGTTAATTATCGCGTTCAGGGATAGTAAGAAACGTGTAAAGAGGATTGAAGGTCTTTGCGTTCATTTGGTAAATACGCGGGATATACGACGGCCTTATCGGTATCAGCCTTGTATTTCCCTCTTTCTTTAAATAATCGCTTAGTACCCCACTCGGTCATTTTATTTTTCGCTTCAGCTGTGACACATTGTACCGCGCACTCCACTGGATCTCGTTTTGGCGCGAGCGCTTTGTATTTTTCCGTTGGTGAGTAAACTCCAAACTGTATACTTTATCAAAACTTTATCTTGGATTCATAAAAAAAATCTTGATTTATCTTGAATCTGATTAACACATCACGACGAATGTCTTGTCTTATCAAATCTCAAGCGCGTTCTATTTACGCGTGCGTAGCGCATCTAAACTAGTCGTCTTCAGAATTTTATTTGCATCCTCGAAATTCGATCGACGTTACACGTGAAAAAAGTTTTAAGCGCGATAAACGTAAATTAAGAAAAATAATATATGAATATAATATTCTTGAAATCTCGTGTGGTAAAAGTGTACGAAAGAAAGAACGGGTATTCGACTTTTGATTGGACCTGTTGCACCTTTCACAAGTCTAGCCGGTTCGCCCGAAGCCGTAGATAATCGGTGCCGTTGCGATTTCGACAGGAAAAGTTGCATAAACGGATCGCGCGGACGTACGTACATTCGTTCTCGCAGATCTTGTATTAATTAATTATTGAGAAAAACGCAAAACGGTACAGAGAGCTTTTTTTATTCAGTTTAATTTTACATACCTACGAGAGACGATACAGTTATCTCCGCAACACTCTGTATAAGTGTAATCGCAATACGTTTATAACTCGTCGAGTATTGCTACATCAACGTTTCATGACCGATTAATATTCCATAATAAAAACAAGACTGATTAGTATTCCAATTAAAAGAAATACAAGATTACGGTTTCCCGCGAGTTGAGCAAGCAAATAGATAATTTTATCATTCTCGGCCAGAACACGTTTATATTATACCGTCAGCCTACATATTTAATTATCTTTCTTTTGGTAAAAATAGAAAGCAATAGATATTAATTGAATTTTTCGGAAGCCAAACTCCAATTCCACTTTTTCTCAATTTTATAATACCGCTCTGTGTCTCATGCAGGGGTTAATTACTTTAACTTCTGAGAGACTTCAAGTATTTTTCCAACTCTTATCAGAGAAAGATTGCCTGATCTGTATTGGCCAAGAATGGTAGAAGCAAGCGCGGTAGGTCCAGGCGGATACAATATAAGGGAAATTATGTACCACTTCATTAACTATACGAAATAGATTGCCGATATAGCACTTTTTGCAAGTACCTACGAGGATTCCTGTTCTGCGAAGCTTTTTACAAAGACTGACAACTGCAGCGCAAAGATGAAAATCGCCGTGATCGGCGCCGGTGCCGCGGGACTCGCTGCACTCCGGCAATGCGTTTCCGATACTTACGGTGGCGACCAGGTGGTGTGCTACGAGAAAACCGACCGAATCGGCGGGACCTGGGTCTACCGGGAGGAAACTGGTTCCGATAGATACGGTTTACCGATTCACACCAGCATGTACAAGAGCCTCAGGTACGACGCGCGTATTCCTCGCAGACAATTACTTTCGTTTTCTCGACAATCCTCGGCCTTTTGCATATATATGAGGCACGTCAATAATAAATTTAAATCGCGATTAATATTCATTTTAATTTTATGTTTGATACGTCAGTTTTACTCCTATATTTTGCATCGTTACAAAAAGTTAACTTTTCCATGAGTATATTTTCCTAGAAATGAATCTTCTTCGATTTCGAGTCGAAAAATTTTCATCCTGACATGTATTAGATATATAAACGTTTAAACCCATTGCAAATAATGATTCCAGCCGTTGATGAGAATCATATATGCCGCCTGGAACTAATTAATGTATCTATTCTAGAACTAATTTACCGAAGGAGGTAATGGGCTATCCGGATTATCCGATACCGGAAAGACCCGAGAGCTACCTGACGCGCACGCAGATACTGGATTTCCTGAACGCGTACTGCGATCATTTTGCGCTACGCCCTTACATTCGGGTGGGTGCATAGAACTGCAGACGACGCACAGCGACATTAAAAGTTGTGCCTGCATTAATTATCAGGGCTACATTTCATCCGAATAATAATTATATGAACGTGAATTCACCTGCACTATTAAGTATTACTATATTATTAAAATAATATATTACAATAATTATAATAATATAACAATATAATAATATAACTCATATTGATCATATTATTAATTTATTACCATAATATTTAATATAGCTGTATTGTAACTAATAAATATTTACAATCTAATATAACTATAGATGGTGATAGCGTAAACTTGTTTATGGCGTAAACATTCCAGCTGCTGCATCATGTAGAGCTGGTGGAGCCGGTCGCGGGAGACCGGAAATGGTCGGTCAAGGTCAGGGACTTGCAGAATGACGCGGTCATAATCGAGCCGTTCGACGCAGTCATGGTGTGCAACGGCCATTACTTTGAGCCTAGGATCCCGAACGTACCCGGCCAGAACGTCTTCGCGGGCAGGCAGATACACAGCCACGATTACAGAGTTCCCGAGCTCTTCGACGGCAAGGCCGTCGTCGTCATGGGAGCTGGTCCTTCCGGTACACACGAACGTTATACGCGGAAATCATTTGCCTATTTCCCGAATGAGACATTTTCTTCTCGCGATTTCAGCGATTCGCGTAATTTCATTGATGTTCTCCTTCCGCGGCTTTGTACCTTAATTCTCTTTTAGCTTTTTATTTACGTTTTGTTGCTGTAGACAAACACATTCATTTATGAATAGCTTATATAATTTTAGAGACGCGAATAATCGGAGAAATGATGTTTTCGAGGGAAATTATTCTTGTAGCGATTAAAATGCAACACACACTTCTCTGTTCCCCGATAGGTATGGATTTGGCGTTGGAAATATCCAAGAATGCGAATCGCGTGATTTTGAGTCATCACCTGACCGAGACCATCGCCACCGTGTTCCCCGAGAATGTCGTGCAGGTAAAAGCGCGCGAGAGCACAGAAAGAAAAATAGTATAAAAATCACACGCGGAGCGTACTTCTTGTAGCAGCTGGTGACGGTTTCTTTTTAGAAAGCTGACGTAGTGGAATTGACGGAACGCGAGGCGGTTTTTGCGGACGGGACAAAGGAGCGGATCGACGTAGTCTTCTATTGTACAGGTGGATTCTCTCTTTCATCCTTATCTGTATAATTTGTTATGGGATATTGTCTCGTTTAATTAAAATATAACGCTCTTCGAGTCTCTGTGTGCATGTGTTTCCATGAAAAGGCTACAAGTACAACTTCCCCTTTCTCGCCGAGTCCTGCGGAGTCCGAGTGGATTCCAACATGGTCACGCCCCTTTGGAAGCATCTGGTGTCCATAGAGAACCCTACCCTGGCACTGATAGGGCTTCCGTTCTACGTTTGCGCCTTCAGTATGTTCGATTTGCAGGTATAAAATTTTTATTGCTAATTATCTCCCTACAAAAAAAAATTTTAAAACACTTACGTCTCCTCTCTCTCTCTCTCTGATAAATTCACCTCGGGCCATCAATATATAGCGTGTCCCACATGTTAGACCGCGGTGTATCGCGCTCCACGTGTTTCACATTGATGAGAGTTCCATGTTTATATAAAAGGCAATGTCAGACAAAGGCCGCGGGGCAATCCCCTTTAGACACGCGACATTCCAAGCCCCCGTGGGGCATCCGGAGCGGATGAGATTGTCTCCGAGCGTCGTCGTGTATAAGTTGAAAGGAACGCGGTCGCGCGCGACGGTGGAAAAAAAAAATGCTAGAAAGTCATCCAGCGCGCATCCGCTGGCCGAGCGACCCGCCGAGCGACCGGGGCGATCGGCCGGCCGGCCGGCCGGCGTGACTGTATATGTGCCAGTTACCAATGATAACATGGCAACGCGATTACTTGCAATTTCAAGGTGCGATTCGTCCTACGACACTGGCACGGCGAGAGGCAGTTTCCCGCGCGAGCGGATATGCTGCGCTCCGAGGCGGAGGACGCGACGAAACGCGCCGAGAGAGGCCTGCAGAAGAGGCACTTTCACATGATGGGTCCCGAGCAAGGTCACTATTACGACGACCTGGCGAGCGTCGCGGGGGTCACGCCGCTGCCGCCCGTGCTGCCGAAACTCCACAACGAGAGCAGCAAGCGCTTCCTGGATGACTTGGTGCACTATCGGGAGGATCGCTACAGGATCCTCGACGACTACAATTTTGTTCTGCTTTAACGCTGGAGCGGCAGACGCATATATAGTTTGCTCACGAAAATTAAATATTTTTTAACGTGAATTTTATATTTTTTAATCAATTTTTATTCAATTATTATATATTACAATTATATATTTTTTATTCAATTTGGAGATAATTATGTATACAAAATCGTATGAGAGAAATCACACTTGCTTGTTAATCAATTCTTACTCTTCCTCCTGCGTGAAATAATTTAAACGTTGAATTTTTCTGCCGTTCGAGCGTGAGTGTAATTACATATCTTTTTATATGGATTAAAATTGCTTTTGTGTAATTTTGAATACGAAATCATTGTCTGAAAAAATCTAGCTGCGATTTTGTTATAATTAAATGAGATTTTTAATTTTCTCAATTATCTGTACTATACCAATGTAAGATGCGAGTTTTGCAAAATATACACGCATGGAAAAAGAAGCTAATTATTTAGATATTTATATGTTAATGGCTGAGAAATTTATATTTATACAATTAAGTTATATACTTTTTAATCATCTCCGAGCTCACTTGAATATTTATTACACGAAAATTTATCCAGGATTGATGTATCTTAATAGAAAAATCTTGAATGTCTGTTTCATTTGAATTAATAGTTTACTCATGGCCGTTGTATACGTAACGTAGCCAAAATTTTTAAAAGATTTTGCGAATACTGATAGTGAATTTGTCTCTTTCTCCTTTTGAACATTTACAATTTTAACGCCTTGATCAATAATACTTGATGTTGGCCATATATATATAGATTTCTTCTCTTGGAACTTGGTGATCTCTTCCTCCTATCAGAGAGGAAGAGGAAGAGATCGCTAAAGAATCAGAAGAAGAAGAAGAAGAACCAGCTTATCGCCTATTCTTTTTCGCTGCTACATTAAAACTCTTTTTCTCGATTACTTTCTCTAAACATGAAATATTCTATTCAATTTTAAATATGAGTGCGCTAATTCAGTTGTCAAGGAACCTGACTTTTATTATTCTTTCTAGACCGATGGCAAAGAACGAGACATATAAGCGCTTGCATTAAGGGTCAGAAATCCAAGATAGATCAGAGACAGAAGGAAAAGTAATACGCGCTTCCCTGCCTTTCGAACTTCCCGCAATCGCGCGGTCACGTGACTCGGGGCGCGCGCGTGACGCAAGCGCAAGATGTTTGCGGCGGCGGCGGCGGCGGCGACGCCGGCGACGTACGGCGGTCGGTTAAATGTCTCGTACGCACGTACGAGACGGCGGAGCGCCGTGTGATGTAGTCCCGGGTTGTCGATGCTGCGCGAGCGTGCGGTGTACGTAACGTCTCTCCCTCTCTCTCTCTGCCCGCCTCACCACGAGCGAGCTGCGCGGATCGGCCGGATCGGCCCGCTGTCGACGGTGCGATGAGCGTTTCCGCGGTTCACGACGACGAGTGATTCAAGTGCCCCGACACACGGCCGCTCAGACCCGACACGGATATCACACTTTGGCCGCACCACCGCCTGGAACCATGACGGTTACGCGTGCCACCGAACGCGTCATCGTGCAGGAAACGCAACGTGAGTAATCCCGTGTTGTTGTTGTCATCGTTATCGTCGCCGTCGCCACCGCCCGTTATCGCCGATCGGGAGAAAACGGGAGGAAAAGCGTATACGCACGCGTAACATGCATACCGCGGCTCTTCCTCTCTCCGTTTCTTTTGCTCATCTGCATTTACGCTCCTGCATCTCCCTCTCTCTCTCTCTCTCTACCTTCCCGTCCGCCTGCGATAAATGTGAGCCGTCTCCTTCTTTCTTTCTCTCGCGATATTTTCCCGCTCGGTCCGGTCGTTCCGACTCACGCATCGCTTCGTGCTTCGGCTAGCTGACGTGCGCGATCGAGTAGATCTCGAATGCAGGTCGGGAGGGTAGAGTCGCGATATCGCGTGCCATTGTTGCACCGTACGGCTGCATGTGCCTGGCCACGTCGATGCGGGAGTACCGTAGGGACGAGAGAGAAAAAGATGGAGAGAGAGAGAAAACGACGAGGGAGTCGCCACCCCCCCGGCGGCAGCGGCGGAGCAATATTTATTTACGTTACGTAGCGGCGGGGGGGATGAGGGGGAGCGTGGTGTCGCGCGAAAAGTACATTTTCTCTCTCCTTTTTTTTTCTCTCCTCCCTCCTCTCCGCTTACCGCGCCTACTTACCGTCGCGCCTCGTAGCGCGGAAGGCACCGCGGGGCGAGAAACGCGAGGAGGAGGCGGCGGCTGGAATACGGAATTACGCACACACGCGTGCTATGTACGTACTACGATCAAATCCGCTCGTACGCTTCTCGTCGCTTGTCCTCCTTTCCCCGCCTCGCGGCCCGTCGGGATTATAGAAAGTGCAGGAGAGCGCCGCGCTCTAAGACGAATGGACCTAATGATCGCGCGTCATACGTGAGCGGCACGCTCGCGCGCCGCGCACGGGTGAATGCATTCGTAAGAATGCATTCACGTTCGTGCGGCCGTGTCCGTCCGCCTGCCCGCCCGTCCGCCGCCATGCCCCGCGTCCCGCATGCATGTTTCTCACTCTCTTTTTCCTCCTACCCCATCTCCCTCGATCTTCTCTCTCTCTCTCTCTCTCTCTCTCTCTTTCCTGGCCCCTCCCTCCCGCGGTGGCGTTCCTTTCCACAGCTTTATGTAATTGCGTTCCGCGGACACCTGTCCGTCTGACAAGAACGCGTGCGGCGCGGCGCGTGAAGTTCGGCCGCGAGATCGCGAGCACGTGATGATCGAAACCGCGTCGCCCGGATTCCCGTGGATCGAATTGACATATACGTCTCGCCTCCAGCCGCGCCTTCCGCCACGTCTCTCCTTCGTTTTTCTTCTCTTTCTCTCTGTTTTTTTATTTTCCTTTTTTTTTTGCCTTACCTCCCTTCTGCTCCGGACTCCGGAATCTGGATCGGTATTACGATCTCGTTTCCACAACGTGGCTCAATGAGACGCTCGATCTTATCGAAGGTGCGATTGCAGAAACGGTTATGGGTAACGGGTTACGGAGATCAAGACTGGATTAAGACCGTTCTACTTTCTATCTTTCTCCTCGCGCTCGTACATGTAACATATTCACGCCACCTTCGAAATGCTATCAAAACCGGCGTGCACCCCAACGTCGTCGTTAAGGAGAAAGAGAGAGAGAGAGAGAGAGAAAGAGACCGTCCGTGACGCGTGCAACCTGATACATGGCGCGTGTTGCATGCTGCTGTGCTTTGTAGGGACGAGTCTCCTGAGTCTCTTCTTAATTACGCGACAGTCCTATATTCTGTGCATATTTCGTCCGTATGCGGGTAGAATGTGGCAACGTTAGTGTGTGTGCGTATATGTGTGTTCGGTCGACGATCCCTCCCTCGGAGACGGCAATCTTGAGAGCCCAGAGAATTGCTTTAATTACGAGATTGAACATTTGATGTACTACTCACGCACGAATCTTTTCTTTATTCCTTTCTCCATGTTCCAAGTCTAAGGAAAATTCCACGGGAATTGTTAATTTAATTTCCCGGTGTATGATTAATTCTATAAGTATACACAAGTCGATGTCTGAGACCTCAGTTATTTCGAAACTCTGTTATTGGTATAGAATTAGTAAATAGCGAGGTGTCTTGTGTTTTTCGACACTTATTATGATTACGAAGTCTTAGACTGCTTTTGAGCGAATGAACATATTTCTTTTATTTGCGATTAATTAAGAAATAAATTAATTATGTGATAATTTTCTCGAGCGCTATTAATGTGAAAAAAGACTGGCGGTCTCTGTGTAGCGATCACGTGTATACGAAAAATAATATTTCGTATTAAGCCTTTATTTATAGTTTTGTTTATAATGTTGATCTATACATAAACTAGATATATCCTTTTCTTTTGGTCATATTTTTGTTTGTAAGTTACGATTTATGGTATTTAACATCTCGTGAGTTACGTTCTTCTTGTCAGGATTTTGAGACGAACGTAAGGACTCTCTGAGATGGCCGCGAAAACGGACGACACGGCGTCTATCGACAATCCCAATGATGGTAACTGTATATTTGTGATTGTATTCATCGCCTTCGGATATACCGAGATAATATGCAATAGCAAAGTTTCCTAACGCGCGTGTCTCATCTTGAAGGAGAGAGTCTAGACAAGGAGATATTGACAATTGGTGGAAACGATGGGAGAAGGATTCCGCCGACGTATCTGTACAATACGGGATCGGAGCAGAGCACAGGAACCTCGGACCAGGAACACACCGCTCGAAACCGCACTCCAGTCACGGAGGATCAATTAGGTTCGTTACCATCTCATTGGGAGAAGGCGTACACGGACACAGGAGAAGTTTACTTCATAGAGTACGTATGCAGCATCTATGTAACAAAAGCAGCTTTTATGTAACATCGTCTTGTCGTTTATCCTGTTGCGAGAAAATTAAATTGCGACAAATTCTTATCGATGATTCTGATGGAACCGGCTATTTTATGCATTGGTTGTGATACATGAAAATAATGCCTTTATTAAAGTTCAAATAATATAAAATATTATTTAATTGTAGCTAGAACAAACTGCGTGCCAATTATTGACTTTTAAGAACGCAACCATAATCTAAAATTTTAGGACATCGTCGATAATTAACACTATCGAATATAGCTAAACGCACATGACAACTCTAATTAATTAATTTAATAAATATAAAATAAATTGCGTTAAATTATACTTCTCAATGCGAAGATTATGTGGACTCTTATATTTAGAGTTATGCACTTTCCGAACAGTGTTATTATAAGCATCTATTTTTATCTACCAAAACACGTATTAAAGAATTGAGGACCACAATCTGCATTAGATTAATGAAATAAATTTGCTCGTCAAACATGACGTTCGTCCACATGATTTGTGGTGTTGAACGATTTATTGGGAGCATAATAGTATCATATTAAATGCTACTTTGGCTTATAGTCCATTAGAATATTAATTTAGAGTAATCAGTGAAATAACTTATGAGAATACAGTGAGTGAGAATGTGTGAAAAGTTAAACAATATTTGTAATAATCCGGAATCTAGTAACACTTGGTATAAAATTGCTTGTATTGGATGTCACACATTGATGTATACCATCCAAAATTGATACATTTGATTTTTTATTATTAATCTCGATATGTAAGAAGTATCTTTATGAAAACATTTTATTTGTTACAGCCACAACACAGGCACGTCTCACTGGCTGGACCCGCGTCTGTCGAAATTTCAAAAGAGATCTCTGGAGGAATGCCTCGACGATGAATTACCCTACGGCTGGGAGAAAATCGACGATACTCTGTACGGCACGTACTTCATCGATCACGTGAATCGTAGGACCCAGTACGAAAATCCGGTGTTGCAAGCGAAAAGAGCGCAGCAGAACTTGCTCGAGAGAAAGAGTCCCAACTTTACCAGAAATCCCGACAAGCTGAAGGGTCAGA